GACTATGTTCCCTAAAGCCTGGGCAGAGACTGGGGGCATGGGGCTCGCCAAGCACAGAGCACCTGTATTTGTGGAAATAAAACCAGGGGCAGACCCGGCATGGGTCTGCCAATACCCCATGTCTCTAGAGGCCCGCAAGGGAATAACTCCACACATCAGGAGGCTACTTGCCCAGGGAATTCTAAGGCCATGCCAGTCGGCCTGGAATACCCCCTTGTTGCCAGTATGGAAACTTCATTCAAATTATTACAATATGTAGATGATCTCCTTATAGCAGCTGAGACACGAGAGGACTACCTAGATGGAACCAAGAAACTCTTAACAGTCATAGGGGAACTGGGATACCGGGCATCTGCCAAAAAGGCCCCAATCTGCAAACCTGAGGTAAGCTACCTGGGTTACATACTTTAAAAGGGGCAAAGATGGCTATCAGATGCTAGAAAAGAGACAGTTCTTAAGATACCCACACCAGATTCTCCTCGGAAAGTTAGAGAATTCTTGGGATTGGCTGGCTTCTGCCGCTTATGAATAGCGGGGATCGCAGAACTTGCGAAGCCCCTTTATAAGGCAACTAAAGACAATCAGGCCTTTCAATGGACAGAAAAACTACAAAAGTCCTTTGATCAAATTAAGGCTGCCTTGTTGTCAGCACCAGCCTTGGGCTTGCCCGATGTCACTAAGCCCTTCTACTTTTACATTGAAAACAAAGGAGTTGCCAAGGGCGTCCTAGGCCAATACCTGGGCCCATGGCACCAACCAGTAGCATACCTGTCCAAGAAACTTGATCCTGTTGCAGCTGGATGGCCCCCATGCCTAAGGATGATCGCTGCCGTAGCCCTGATGGTCAAAGATGCTGATAAGTTAGCTTTGGGCCAAGAACTGCATGTAACCACCCCCCACGCCATTGAAGGGGTTCTAAAACAGTCTCCAGATAGATGGCTCAGCAATGCCTGACATTATTGCCTGACCTAGACCTAGAGGCCCCGCTGCATGACTGCGCTGACATCTTGGCTCAGGTACACGGGACTCGAGAAGATCTGAAAGATCAGCCATGGCCAGATGCTGAAGATACCTGGTACACCAATGGGAGCAGCTTTGTTCAGGATGGCCAAAGGTATTCAGGGATGGCTGTGGTCACTGAGACTGAGGTTGTTTGGGCTGAACCCTTGCCCACTGGAACATCAGCACAGAGAGCAGAGCTCATAGCATTAACCAAAGCACTGACGCTGGGAAAGGGCCAAAAGCTAAATATATACACAGACGGCAGGTATGCTTTTGCTACTGCTCACATACATGGGACCATTTACAGAGAAAGGGGACTGTTAACAGCTGAAGGAAAGACTATTAAAAACAGAGAAGAAATTCTTGTGCTACTGGCGGCCCTATGGCTGCCAAAGAAATTGGCTATTATTCACTGTCCCAGGCACCAAACTCCAATTGCCCAAGGAAATAATTTGGCCAACCAGACAGCTCAAAAAATAGCCCTAGAAGCTGATCTGACCCTGACCATTCAGCTGCCTGATAAAGGGGGCACTGCCTTACCAGAAACTCCCCAGTATACTGAGGCAGACTTAAAGTGGATAAAACAACTGCCCATGGCCCAATGCCTCAAAAGATGGTGGAGACTGTCTGACTGTAGAGTCATCCTGCCTGAAGCACTGGGAGAACAAGTTCTCTCCAAAATGCACCAGGCCACCCACATGGGCACTCGAAAAATGCAAGACCTCCAGAAACTGAGCGTATCATTGCCACCTGCAAAGCCTGCCAATTGACAAATGCTACTCACAATAAAGCCAACCCAGGCAACAGATTGAGAGGAAACCGACCCGGCGTATACTGGGAATTGGACTTTACTGAGGTAAAACCTGGAAGGTATGGTTACAGGTACCTGCTAGTTTTTGTAGACACTTTTTCAGGATGGACAGAGGCCTTTCCCACCAAACATGAGACGGCACAGATTGTGGCTAAAAAGTTACTAGAAGACATCTTGCCAAGGTATGGTTTCCCAGTAATGTAAGGGTCAGACAATGGACCCCCCTTCATTTCCAAGGTGAGTCTAGGTTTAGCACAGGTACTGGGGGCAAATTGGAAATTACATTGTGCTTACAGACCCCAGAGTTCAGGGCAGGTAGAAAAAATGAACAGAACTCTAAAAGAGACCTTAATTAAATTAACCTTAGAGACTGGCGGTGACTGGGTGATTCTCCTTCCCTTTGCCCTCTATGGGGTGTGCAATTCTCCCTATAAGATGGGACTAACTCCCTTTGAAATCATGTTTGGGGTGACCCCTCCCATTAAAATGTTGTCTTCCTTACAAAGCCTCCAGTGTGTTCACAAAGACATCTGGCCTAAATTAAAGGCCCTGTTAGAGTCCGGACCACCTCCCGAGCCCCATCACTACTGGGTCTTTGTCCGGAGACATCGACAGAAGGACCTTGAGCCTCATTGAAAAGGACCCTATGTTACTGTCCTGACCATGCCCACCGCTCTCAAGGTTGACGGGATTGCCTCGTGCATACATTACACTCACGTCCGTCCCGCAGATTCACACGCCGTTCTAGAGGATTACATCCCCTCATGGCAGGTGTCCAAAAACCGTGACAATCCTCTCAAGCTCAGACTGTGTCATCGACAGTCATAATTATGAAAAGACTTTGTGCTGCCCTAGGTAAAGAGTGTTGTTTATCTCTTCTCTACTGGGCCCCTTGCTTAACCCTTGGAGAACGTGCTAGCTCTGTACAATTAATGGTGCTTAGGTCCCAGTAGATTTAACCCCCCAACACCCATGATTGGGCCTCTAGAGTTACATGTGAAGGGGGAAATGTGAGACCTAAAACCACAAGATGTACTTTGCCCACCTGCTTGTGATAAGTGTTCAGCCGTCCCCTGGCAACAGCTACCCCAATGTCCCAGGTGTAACCATTTGCAGCTTGGGTACACAAGGCACAACCAGTCAGGTTTAATTGCCAATCTAGAACCTTGCTGTAACTACTATAAAAACCCCTGCTGATTTGGAGTCAGGGCTCTCAATCTTGACCCGCTGCAGCGGTGACGGTTGGGAGTCCCTGCTCGAGCTTGAATAAACGACCCTCATGTGTTTACATTGGAATTGGCTCCTTGGTGGTCTTTCGGGACCTTGAAATCTGGGCACAACATTTGCTTATCTTGGCCTTTTGCTACAAACTGGGTAGACCTTGTTAACCCATCAAGTCGAATCCTCACTTCGGCGGCACATATACTAAATTGTCAAGTCAACCATGATATGACCAAAAGCTTTTGACAATTTTATTATATCCAAAGGCTCTGCTTTTCTGTTGTGATTTTTCAGCAGGAAAACTCAAAATATTCTGGGGGCTTTCATCTCAGAAGCTGTGATAACACCTAGCAAGCTCAATGGATCATTGTTTGCTGAATCAAAATCCAGAAATTAGATCATAAGAGGAAAAAAAATAATTAAATAAAATCTTTGGTTTGGATATCACAATGCACTCTGCTAATTTCTTTTGACTGGTACATTTAAAAAGTTTACATCAGATCTCTCACTGAGCCATCTTAGAAGCTGAAACACAAACCAGCAAAAAACATTAATCCAAAATGTTGAGTTATCTTCCTACTGTGGGGGCACTGTCAAACCAGGTGAGGATCTGAACACTGGAGATATATACTGAGCTCTTCCATCACCTTATCTATGTCAGGCTGAACAGAGACATCTATAATTTTTAGAGCAGCCTCAAATTGTAGGACCTACCACTCTACACTCTAAAAGCTGAAATCACTGTCACTCAATGAACAAAGATTAGCAAACCTCAATTAGTACACATTTATTACCTCCTATATACTGATCCCCCTACTTAACATGTGATACATGGTATGAAAAAAATAAATGTCAGAGTTGAAGTTTCTAACGGTGACTATCTTCAAACTGATATAAGATGAAATATGAAAATATTATATCTCCCAAAAATAAGAACCAAGATATATCATGTACAGGTACAAATTCCCAATGATGAATGTGATCATAATGTATACCTAAATGTACCAATAAACTTAATGAATAAAAAAAGGAAAATATTATATCTCCCAACCTGTTAGACGTCTGAAGGCGAGTTTGAGTTCTCTGAAAATCAAAGAATGAATTCTAGGAACAACAGAGGTTAAGAGTAGGAAGATATTTATTGATAGGATAGCTCCTGAGAGGCAAGAAGGGGCCCCACTTTACAGGGAAGTTTTAGAGAGTAAAATCCACGTGGGTTGCAACTATGATTAACCAATTAAGATTACAAGTATAGTCGCTTAGGTAATATTCATCCACTGGGGGAACAAGTCACATAACAAGGGTGCATGGAAAGAACAAAGACTTTTCCTAGGAAATGATGGGTCTGGAGATCTTGGTCACCCACCAGGGGATGTCTATCTAGACTTCATTAGGGCCAGTATTTTTTTTTGAGGAAGTCTGCAGGCCTAGTCATTTCATTTTTATCTTGAGGTCTGGTCTCCAACAGATGCATCTCTGGCCCCAGTTGTGATGTGTTTCACCTTCGTCCCAACTCTTGAGGGCCCAGCCCTATCTGACTACCTATAATATTTCTATCTAACTTATCTGTCTATAATAAAACCATTTCAATGAGAACCATCAGGTAAACTTGTGTGGCAAGTAGATTCCTGAACTCCATTCTTGATCTACTTAACCAGATTGACAGGGGATGGGAATGGCTAATTTTTGCATTTCTTACAATTCTCCTGATAATGCTTATGACTAAAGTTTTAAAATTATTTTTTGGCTCATGATTCTCCTATCTGGCTGCACATTTGAATTTGTGTGGTAAACTTAAGACCACCAGTGAATTGGTACCAAAGAGAACAATTAAGTCCGGCCCTTGGAGGGGAAAGGAAAGCCTTGGCACTAATTCATGTTGGTTTGGGGGGAAATGTTGATTTTTAAGATACCCAAATGACTCTAATGAGCAATCAAGGCTGAAAAATTTGTTCTAGACTGTAAGCCCTGCAGGAATTCAAAAGAAATCACTTCCACCTGGGATGGTTAGATGCTACCTTTGATTTATTCTCAGATCTTGCAAAAGATACTATGTTCTCTTTGGAAAGTATCTGTATATGTGTTTGTTATTGCAAATAAAATGACATGTTTATATAGCAGCCAACAAGAAGCAGAATAATTATACAGACACCACTTAATCTCATTTATCTTCAACTCATCCCCTGAAATGTAATTAGGGAAAAATTTATATTACCATCCCAAGCACAGATAAAACAAAAATTCAGTGGTTTGCCTGAGATCACACAGTAAGTTCATTTGAAAAACCAGACTCCACTAGAGCTGCTTCCTTTGAATAGTCCTGGTTAAAATGTAAGGTATTTGATGCTGAAAATTATTCAAATATACAATTAGCATGCCTATATTCCATAATTTCAGTCTTCCTTTTGGCTTTTGTTTATTTTGTTTGAAAATGAGATGATATCTGAAGAATCAATAATCCTATTTGCCCATTTTTCTATAAATTAACATACTGAATGCATTAATGGGTTTGTTCATTTAGGGTTTTCATCCATTCCAGTTTGCTTGGAACTTTCCCAGTTTTAGTACTGAAATATTTTCCCCATTAAACACTTCAATACTGGACAAAGCCAGGCAATTCCATGTTAAAAGTAGAAATAGCCCTTTGAAGATTTATGCAGGAAAGGGAATTCAAGGCTGGTAAGGAAGGTAAGAGGCCAGGCCAGTCCTAAGCAAGGAGCAAGGCAATAAATATCCATCATGACAGGTAGACTTGGCTTAAGGCTTTGGGATCTAGCTGAGCAGGCACAGTGCTAGATCTAGAGCAGTAGCACTCAAACCTGTGTATGCATTAGAGTCACCTAGAGGGCTTTTTAACATGTTCCCATCAGCTTGATACACTGGTGGGACATCATGACTGTCCTGTCAGGCAGTTTGTACCTGATGGGACTGTCCTATGGTACCCTATGGTACAGTCATGCATGGACCAAAGGTCATTCAGAGCATCCTGGTAGTGAGACACATAAATTATAGCCCCATCTTGAATGTTTTAAAACAGATCACTTAATTGGCTTGCTGAGCTAAACAAAATGACACAAAACATGAATGAACAGTTTAGTAAAGAACTAGAGCCCATTAAAATGTTCTAAACAGAAATCTGAGAGATTGAAAGTTATGGGCAGCAAACACTCTGTCCTCCAATGCAAGGACCACGTGTCAGAATTGAAAAATAGGACTGCTGTCAGAAACTAGTTTTTAAGAGGCACATTTGAAAAAGAGAGAGCACTTGAAAAATGGATTCAACGGCTGCTAGGTGATGAAAAGAAGATTAATCTGAGAATATTTGGAATTAGCAAAAAATCAGAAGACAGCACAAATGACATAGAAATCCTATACACAAAAATAATAATAGAAAACAAAGCAAATATAGGGAAAGAATTAAACTTATGAGTAATGATACATATAGAGTCCCAAATAGCTAAATCAAAAGAGAACCTCTCCACAACATACCATAATGAAAATTCCAGAAATCCAGCATGGGGACAGAATCTTAAAAGCTGTTACATAAAAGTAACAAATAACTTATAAAGGTAAACCCCTTAAAATTATAGTAGACTTCTCAACACAAACTTTGAAGAACAGGAGAACCTGGAGTGAAGTGTTTTAAGCCCTAAAAGGAAGCAATTTCCACCCAGGTTTACATATCCTGTAAAACTGTCTTTCATAATTGGTGGAGATACAAGGTATTTCTGTGAAAAAGAGCATCTCAAGAAATTAATGACCACTAGACCAACACCACAAAAATATCTCCAGGATTGCCTAGAAAGAGACAATGAAGCCAACAATGCCAATAAATAAAATAAAATAAATGCACCAGACAAGGTGAGCAGTTAAGCAAAAGGGGGGGAAAAGGAAATCAGCAGCAGAAAAACAATGCAGTGATAAGAATAAGTCAATAACTTTCAGTGATAACTCTCAATGTGAATGATTTCAATTCCCAATCAAAAGACATGGATTGGCAGTAATGGATCAAGAAACAAGAACCAATCAAATGCTGTATACAAGAAACACATTAAATGCAGAAAGAAATTCACAGTTTAAAAATCAAAGGATGGAAAACAATACTCATACAACAGGAGCTCAGAACAAAGCAGGAATAGCTATCTTAATTTCAGACAAAGTGGACTTCAAGCCATAACTCATCAAAAGAGGATAAAAGGTCACTACATATTCATTAAGGGAACAATTCAGTAGTAAGAGATAATTATAAGAAAATATATGCACCACATGCCAGTATGCATAACTTCATAAACACTACTGGACATGACAAAAAGATAAACACCAACAAAATTATGGGAGACCTCAATACCCCACTCTCAGAAGCAGATTGACCAGACCAAAAAAAATCAATGAAGAGATATTAGAGTTGAACCAAACCTTCAAACAAATGAACTTAATAGAAATCTACAGTATTCCACTCAACAACAGGAGAATACACATTCTTCTCAGCACCATATGGTCCTGTCTTCAAAATAAGCTATAAAGCATGCTTAAGTAAATCCAAAAGAATCAAAATTATCTCATACATATTATCAGATCACACTGCAATGAAATAAATCTATGGCAAAAGAAAGCAGAAATATGAAAACTCATAGATTAATACAGTCTTGAAAAATCAATAGGTAACAGAAGAAATCAAGGAAGAAATTAGACAGTTCATAGAATCAAACAATAATGCCAGTACAACATACCAGAACCTATGAGACACAATGAAAACAGTCCCAAAAGGGAAGTATATCTGTGAATGCCTACATCAGAAAAATAGAGCAAGCCCAAACAACCTAATGATGCACCTGATGGTCCTAGAAAGACAAGAACAATTCAAATCCAAACCTAGCATAAGGAAGGAAATTATAAAGATCAGAGTAGAAGTTAATGAAATTGAGATGTAAAAAACAATACAAAGAATCAATTAATTGAAGAGCTGCTTGAAAAAATAAATAAAATAGACAACACCCTAACCAATCTTATATAAAAAAAGAGACACAAATCAATGCAATTAAAAATGAAAAAGGTGAACCACAAAGGACACTGCTGACATCCAGATGGTACTAGTTAACTAATTTAAGAATCTATACTCAAATAAATTGGAGAATTCAGAAGAAAAAGATAGATTCCTGGGTCATAATAATTACCAAAACTCAACCAAGGAAATATAAAAATCTTTAACAATCCAATGAAATCTAATGAGTGAAATTGAAGAATTAATTTTAAAAACTACCAACTAAAAACAGCCCAAGTCCAGATGGATTCACTGCTGAATTCAAGAAGAACTTTAGGAAAGATCTAACACCAACACTCCTCAAACTATTTAATGAAAATGAAAGGAAAGAGTACTCCCAAAGTCATTTGTAGGAGACAGCACTACCCTGATTCCAAAACCAAGCTAAATAAGAGAACTAAAGGCCAGTCTCTTGAATGAACACAGACACAAAATTCCTCAATAAAATACTGGTAAACAGAATGCTAGAAATCATCAAAAGCACCATATATCATGACCAAGTCGGATTCATCCCAGGGATGCAGGGATGGTTAAACATATGCAAATCAATAAATGTCATATATCACATAAACAAAAGCAAGGACAAAAATCACATGATCATCTCAATAGATGCATAAAAAGCATTGCAAGAAATCCAACATCTATTCAAGATAAAAACCCTGAAGAAAATAGGTACAGAAGGATCTTATCTCAATCTGATAAAAGCCATTTATGACAAACCTAATGCCAACATCATATTAAATGGGGAGAAGCTGAAAACTTTCCCTTTAAAATCAGGAGTAAGGCACAGATATCTTCTATCACCAGTACTCCTCAATATAGTTCTCAAAACATTAGTTAAAGCAATCAGGCAAGAGAAAGAAAGAAAAGAGAAATGTATATATTTCCACAAAAAGATTTCTAGAATTATATGTGCTGCTGAAGTGAGCACAAGATTTCTAGAATTAATAACCAAATTAAATAATGTAACAGAATACAAAATCAACACACAAAAATCAGCAGTGTTCCTGTACACCAATAATAAACTACCAAGAAAAAATTAGGGAACCAATACCATTCACAATGGCATCAAGAAAAATTCAATACTTAATAATTAACCTAGCCAAGGAAGTGAAAGACCTCTACAAAAAAAAAGGACATTGAAAAGAATATCATGCTGGGGATTTAGCTCAGTGGTTCCACCACCTGCTTCGAAAGCCCAAGGTCCCAAATTCGATCCCCGGTACAAAAGAAAAAATGAAAAGGACATCAGAAAATAGAAAGATATCCAAAGTTCCTGGATATACAGGAGGAATACTATAGTCAAAATGCCCATACTTCTAACACTGATACATGTACAGATTTAATGCAAACTGAAAAGAATACCAATAGCATTCTTTACAGAACTAGAGGAAACAATCCTACAATTTGCATGCAACCAGAAAAGACCTAGAATAGCAAAAATAATCCTAGGCAAAAAGAGCAGAGCAGGATGCATCACAATCCTGTACTTCAGGTTATACTACAAAGCTAAGGTGTTTAAAAAAAAAAAAAAAAAAAGCATGGTATTGGCAAAAAAAAAAAAAGATATGGACAAATGAAGCAGAATAGAGGATACAGAAACAATTCCATCTTTGCTAAAGGAGCCAAAAACTTACCTCTTTAACCTCTTTAGCAAATGGTGCTGGGAAAACTGGCTATCCACATGCCAAACATTGAGTCTAAGACTAGACTCCTATTTTTCATCATGTACTAAACTAAATCAGAATGAATCAAAGATCTAAATGTTAAAATAAAAACACTCCAGCTTCTGGAAGATAAAACAGGTAAAACTTTGTCTTGAGGACAAAGGCAAGGGTTTTCTGAAGATAACCCTTATTGCACAAGAAATAATAGCAAAAATCACCAAATGAGATCATATCAAATTAAAAAGCTTCTGCATAGCAAAGGAAACAATTAACAGAGTGAAGAGACAACCTACAGAATGGGAAAAAAATTTTCCCAGCTATTCCTCAGACAGACAACTAGTATCTAAAATACAAAGAACACACAAAAAAATGTGTCCCCTGCCCAACGAGATCAAGTCAAAAATTAGGCAACAGAAATGAATAGACACTTCTCAGAAGAAGAAAAATAAATGGCCAGGAAATACATGACACACTATTCAACATCTCTGACCACATGTGAAAATGCAAGTTAAAACAACTCTATGATTCCATCTTACTCCAGAAAGAATGGCTGTCATCAAGAAACTGAACAATAACAAATGCTGGGGAGGCCATGGGGAAAATTGTTGGTGGGGATGTAAATTAGTACAACCATTATAGAAAGTACTTTGTAGCTTCCTCAAAAAAATTAAACAAGAAATTCCATTTGACCCAGCTATTCCCATCTAGGTATCCTCCTGAAAGAATTATAGACATCATATTACAGTTATACTTACATTCCCTTGTTTATAGCAGCACAATTCATGATAGCTAAATCTTAGAAGTGACCCCAGTGGCACCTCAGTTCACAAACTTGGCTCTTTCCATGTTTCTGGCTGCAAATAGAGCTGGACTAAAACCAAATCAAATTCAATGGTAAGGTTCAATGTTGGCCTTATGGGGAAATTTGATTTGGTTCTTGTCCAGTTCAGTTTGTAACCAGAATCATGGAGAAAATTGAGTTTGTGAAGTGAGTTATCACTGTATTCCATCAATACATGAATGGATACAGATAATGTGTGATTTATACATAATGGAGTACTTTTCTGCCATTAAAAAGGATAAACTTGAGTCATTTGTAGGAAGATGGATGCATCTTAAAACCACAATGTTATGTGAAACAAATCAAATAGATAAGCTTAAATATTGCATGGCTTCTCTTAGGTGAGAAAACAAAAATATAAATAAAGAGCAAAATGAAGACAATAGGAAATAGGGAGACAGATCTTTTGCAAATAGGAGGGGAACCAAGAGCTGGAGGCAGTCAGGCAGGAGCAGAGAGGAAGGAGATTTAAAAAAAGAATTAAAGTGTGTTACGTATTATGTACCAACTTCTTACAAGGAATGTGATCATTAGACAGTACAAATGTGTACTAATAACAAAAAATCTAAAATGATGCCCAAAGTCTCATATGTTTGGAATGCAATTTGACTATGGGGGTGCTATAGCTGGCTTGCTGTTGGGAGGCAGAGTTTTGTTAGGGGAACAGACAGGTAACTAGGAGCATGGCCTGGATAGGTTTATCTTCCTCCTCAGCTTCTCTCTCTCTCTCTCTCTCTCTCTCTCTCTCTCTCTCTCTCTCTCTCTCATCTTTTGCTAACCATGCCACAAACAGCTCTCCTCTGCCATGGCCCTCTGCCAAGCTGTTCTGTCTTGGAGCCACCTGACTATAGACTGAAATCTCTATAAACTCTGGACCAAAATGAATCACTCTTCCTTTAAAACAAAATTAAAAAGTAAAACAGATCACTGCCCCCATCCAACAGTTCCTGATTTGATAAGTCTAGAGTGATGACTGAGTATTTGGTTTTCTACCACATTCTTAAGTTATGTTGATTCTGTTGGTCCCAAGGTCACATATAGATACTCTACCCTAGGGGCTAGGTAGGCTTCCATTGAGGTATAGGCAGCAATTTGCTACCTATTTCTTCAGCAGCAGAGAGCTCAAAGAAGACTGCATTAAGTGAAGATGCAAGTTGCTGTCTGAAGACAGGACTCAAGAACTTGAAGGACTCTGAACCAGCACAGCAAAATCCCAGCTACAAGGAGTTAAAGTGCCAGAGAGAAGTGGCGGACCTCAATGCCCCACTGTCACAAATGGATATATCAACTAGACAAAAAATAAGCAATGAAATACTAGAACTAAATCAAACTCTTGAACAAATGAACTTAACAGATGTTTACAGAGTTTTCCACCCCACAAAATCAGAATACACATTCTTAGCGCTGCACTTGGGTCATTCTCCAAAATAAACCACATACTCATTCATAGAATATGTTCAGGTAAGTGCAAAGGAATTGAAGTTATCCCTTGTATATTATCAGATCATAGTGCAATGAAATTGGAGATCAATAGCAAAATAAACCACAAGAATGGGGCAGATTTAGCTCAGTGGTTCCGGCACCTGCCTCACAAGCACAAGGTCCCTCATTCAATCCCCGGTACTCACCCCCCCC